CGGGCCCTCGCCCTAGCCGCTGCAGAGACTGACGCCAACGAATTTCCCAAGACGAGTAACCTCTTACCGCGGTTTCGAGGCACCCTCAAAGCATGGCGAAGGTGGTAAAGATCGGCTCGCGACTCAAGAACCGGCACTTCTTCAGGGCGATCCCACTTGCAACGACCAGTCACATGCCAACAATGTCTTTCAATATTTGTCTTTGACAACTCGGGAAAAGCAACGAGATCCCGCTCCGCTGGCGGGCCAATGGGCTGGCTGTCAGCGGGCAGGCGGCCCGGCGAAAAATCGCCGACGCCCTGCCCAAGACCGCTGGCTGCGGCGCCCGTCGGCGGCGCATTCAGCGGTGAGAGCTCGGCGTCGTGGAGGCGAGCGCCAAGCCCTGCCATAGCGCCACCGCTCACTATGACGCCGGACCTCCCGAACAGTAGCCACTTCCCAGCTGGCCGCGCAGGCGCCCGAGCCCCGCGGGGGGGGCGCCAACGCAACCCGCGGGAGGCGACCGCTGGACACGGAGATCGCGCCGCAGTCACTGGGCCACGCCATGTCCAGGCCGCGAGCTCCTGCCTGACCTGAGTCCAGAGCGGCGCCTCGCGGTGGTAGCGCTGCTGGGCGAAACGGAAGCAGGACTCGAAGATGCTGAATCTCTCACGGCGCGGCAGCGCCACGAAAATGGCGCGGCCCAGGGCCCGCTCGAGATCACGCCCACTGGCGCGACCGCGCCGCAGCGGCGCCCGAACGGCCTGCCGCGCGCGCCTCCGCCGGGTAGCCGGGGCGGACAAGCGGCCAGCGGAGGTGGTGGGCCACCGCAACGCCGACTACTCGCCCCCATTGTCCCCGAGGTGCCCCTCATGCGTCACGACGAGGCCCCGCCGCTTCAGCTCGGCCATCGCCCGAACGACTGCCTCGCGGACGGCTGTCGCATCGTGGCCGACGCTGACGAGGTCGTCGACGTACGAGGTGGCAAGCGGCAAGCGGGGGCGAGCGGCGGAGCAGGGCGGCCGCCGCGGAGCCGCGCGCCATCGCAACAACCGGCGGCCTCGGCCGCACGCCCCATCACTGACTGGCACCACCGCGTGGCCCATGTCCAGCCCATCGGGGCGACCCTCCGGCGCGGGTAGATCCCGGAAGAGGCCTCGAGGCTGACGGCGCCCACGCAGATAATGCCAAAGCGCCAAAGTCACCGGCTCGAGCAGGGCCGAGGGCGAAGTGGGAGCGGGGCTGCCCCGGCAACTGCAGGCGGCGGGAGGCGCCCTTCAGATCAGCGCCCTCCACGGAGCGTAGTGTGTCATCAACATCAATCATCTCGAGCGTGCCGAAAGCGTCGCCCGTGGCCGGGCGGACTCCCTGCAGCTCGGTGAAGACCTCGTTGGACCGACGGCAGTCGGCGACCATGCGCAGACGGCCGCCCTTCTTCTTGACGAAGAAAGATCTCGGCCCTCACGCCACCCCCCAGGTGGAAATCGACGAGACGCCGCTCGCGCAATAGCATGACAGAACTTGACCAACGCCGCTGATCGCGAAAAAAAAAAATCAGAACACGGTGCATAAACAGCTGTGCTGCAGTCGGGTGGCGGCCTCGCTCGGATCGAGCACGCTCTGCCGAGGCTGAACGATCTGTTTGACCTTGGCTTGCCCGCCCCCCACCCCCGGCGCCGAGCTGACGTCGGGCAACGAATTGGAGCGCGGGGTCGTCGCGGCCGCGCGAGAGGGGCGGGTCGCGACGCCAATTCAAGGCGCCCACGCGCCGGAGAACGTCGCTGCAGACACCGAGCCTTCGGCCGACCCTCTGCCTCGCGCCCCCGGCACGCGCGAGGGCGGCACCTGCGTCCAGTGGCCCCCCGGCAAACGGGCAGGGCAAGGGAAAGATGTCCCGGGGCCAACTTCATGAACATCTCGAGTTAGTGAGGGCTCTCCGTGATCACCCTGGTGGAAGGGTTGCATAATCGCACTGCCTCCGATGCCAGCGCGGCCGCGCCGATCAACAATTCTTGCGCCTGGATTCCCGCTCCTCGCGGGCCAGACGCAGACTCTTGCATGTGCAATGAACTTCGCCCTCCTTCTCAACGCCGCCGCGCGCATGTTCGACCGGCTCGGGCGAGACCATCACGGACGATGTAGAAAACGACCCCCCTGAAAACGCAGCCTGCTCCTCCAGACTCATCTTGCCGCCGGCGCCTTACTCTCGGCGTCCTCCGCCTTGTCCCTGCACGCGAACTCGATGGTCTGGACCCTCCTGAACTCCATATCAATGCTGATCAAATTCGCACCATCCAGGAGGTCCTGGCAAGTCGCCGCCTTGAACTGCCGACGCAGCTGGCAGTGCTCCTGGGCCCCCCAGTCGGTCGCGCCCAGCTTGCAGATCTGGCGGAAGCGCTCGTTGTGACCCTCGGTGCCGAGGCCCTCGCGCTGAAGATAATTCATGCACCATCCGGCGGTTCTGGGCCCCGACGGCATTCAGTCTGATCCAAATGGCAGGTCATCTCGATCATCGCGTGCCGTGGCGCATCCCTACAACCCTGAGCGCCCCGCACGATCGGGGGGATCCTCGCGTCGGCGCCCACCGCCTTCCGCAGGAACCTCTCCAGGGCCGCAGGCGGCACCAACTCCACCTGGAGCCCCTGGCCACCTGGCAGCACATGGATGTGGCGATCCTGCACGCGAGCGGCCGTGGGAATGTGGCCAGGCACCTCGTCGCAAATGCGATAGCCGCCCTCGCAATCGGCTGCGCGCCACACCCCAGCGGGGCCGCCAGCGCCAGCGCCGCGCCCAGCTGGGGCAATACCGCGCATCAATCCCAAAGCGGGCCCAGATGGCGCCACGGGCGCGATAGCCGCTCCACCTCCAGGTGTGACCAGCGGCCGGAGGTTTGTCGGCAAACTCAAGTTGCCGATGGCCTGTACCCGCCGACGACACCACTCTCCCATGGCTACCTGCTCAGCCTCCGTCGTGAGCTGGGCAAGCTCCGCATCCGTCGGATCTGGACGGAACCGAAACACCTGGGCCGGCGCGATGCCTGGCGGCGGCGGATCGAAAGCTCCAAACCGCGCCGCCTGCACATCTGCATTGTTGGCGAAGGCCACGACGTACAGGTTGCCATCCGCCGTGGATGACGTGAGCAGCTTCCGACAACGCCACCCGGCCCATATTCAAGTGCTGGTGCCAGACCACCTCGCCGGCGTAGAAGACGTGCGCCCATCGTGTCGTCGCGGCTGCGAGGCCGCGCGTCCCGCCTCAGGACGGCCCAACAGCACCCGAAGCAGGCGGCCGCGACCGTGAAGCCGAGGGCGCCTGCGACCAAACCCGGGACCAGCGCGCGGACGTCCACCGCGGCGCCACCGAGCGGCCCGCCAACTGGAGCGGCCGCCGCCGCCGCCGCCTCCTGCGCGGCCGAGCCGACCGAAGGCCGAGGGTTCGGGCGCCGCGCGCGGGGCGCACGCCGGGCAGGCGAGCGCGGGGCAAGGGGTCGCCTCCGGGCAGCTGACTGCGGGCGCCTCTGCGCACGGCGGGATCGCTGGGCGCTGCAGCGAGCACGAAGGGCAAGCCGCGGGCGTGCCACACGCCAAATAGCAAACGGCGGAGACCCCAAAGAATGCATCGGAAACGGGTGAAATCACGACAGGAATATGTTTTGACTTTTTTGTAGTTTTCGTCCAAAATCCGCCTGTAGGGGGACATGCCCGACCAAACCTCAAAATCAAACGTCCCGCCTCTGACAGCCAGGACTGTAAGCTGCCACGGCACATGTTGTTCGTCAGTTTTTTCCACGCATTGCACGGCATGGCGCTCTCCACGGAGACACTTGGTCTTGGAAGGTTTGGGGCAAACACCGTACATAATGCACGCATCCGTTCCGCGAGCATGCATGGATGCGTAGAGGACTCAGGATCCTGATCACCACGTGCGCAAAGTACGCGCGTGCATTCGGCGAGAATCGTGCATTTCCTGAACTGGCGCAATACAACTCGCAAGCTACAGGAGCACGTGCATAGACGTCATAGATTGCCCACAAGCGTCCCAACCTGCACGGCGGGGAACGGCTGTAAAATCAGCCCTGGCTCGGAAAAGAGACAGCCGGGTCTCCAGGTTCTGGCAAGCCCCTGCAGGCGAAGGAGAGGGTGAGTCAGTGAGTGAGTGAGAACAATCGCGATGCGAGTCGAAACGACGCCTACGGACGCTTACGAGCTAGCTTCTCGGCCTTGCTTAGAGCCTTCGGCCAACGATCGGACTCGGTCCGATGCAGCAGAGGAGGGAGGTGCGGAGAGGGAGGGACAGAAGGAACGCACGCCCGCGGGTGAGGCCTCGGGCTGCCCACCCCAGGTGGTCCTGGATGGCCGCCCACGGCGGCCTCAACAGCGCGGAGCGCCCCAGGGGCGCCGCCAGAGGCGGCGCCAGGGTGCCGAGACCGCCCCGGGCGACTCGGGAGGCCTGTTTCTGGGACGCACAAATAAATACACATAAATAAAAATATCCCATATTTTCTTTTATTCTGGGGTTTTCGTCTTCCCCCCCACTTCCCATACGTTCTTATATTTTCTGGGAATCGACGATTAATTGGGTCAGTGTGTTTCTTTCCCTCCTGACTGTTGAGGCCAGCTGGGGCGACTCGGGGGACCTGTGGGGCCAGCCAGGCCTGCCTGGGGGGGCGGTCGGTGCGCACGCAACCCGAAGCCCTACCCACGCACGCGGCCAGCAATCCGTGCAGCCTGGCACGCGCGGGAACGACTCCAGGGCACGAGATCCACGGCATGCCCGCGGGAATCGGGGCGCGGTCGTGCCGCAGGTGCCCGACCAAGCCTGGATCGCGGAGGAGGAGGAGGAGGAGGAAGAGGAGGAGGAGTAGGAGAAGGACGAGGAGGAGGAGTAGGAGGAGGAGGAGGACGAGGTGGAGGAGGAGGAGGAGGAAGAGGAGGGGAGGAGAGGAGAGGAGAGGAGAGGAGAGGAGAGGAGAGGAGAAGAGAGGAGAGGAGAGGAGAGGAGCGAAGAGGAGAGGAGAGGAGAGGAAGAGGAGGGGCCCAAGACCAAGTCAATTCCCAGACCAAGTCCCTGGCCCAACGACAGCGCCTTCAAGCCTATGCCCACCCTTCTCGCGCGCTGTGGTGCTGCCACTCTGGCTGATGTTGTCCGTGTCGACCTTCGCCTCAGCATCGACAACGCTTCTGACCTCTGCCTGGCCCTCTCGCACGCGCAGGCCAGCACTGTCGCTGGCTGTGGCGTTGGGCCCCACTTCCGCCACCCACGTCTCGCTGACCAGCGTCAAAAGCCGCTGCCACTGCTCGTCCTTCTCGCACGCACTGGTCCCCGCGCGCTAGTCCGATGATGTCGACGTCCCAATACCCAGCTCCCACATCTCGGTGACCAGCGCCAGAGCCCGCTGTCACCGCCCTCTATTCGCGCACGCGCTGTCGCGCTGTTCCAAGCGCTGAAGCCGACCAGCCTGTCGAATCGCCTCTGCGCAGCAGGGGGGCGATCGTTGGACTGTAGCCGGCAGCATCCAGGTCAGCCTGCCCCTCTTGGATCTCGTCCAGCTGCCACAGGGCCCCCTGCCACTGCCCGCCCTTCTCGCACGCGCTGACCCACGAGCTGCTTGCGACAGCGTTGGGCGCCACTTTCGCCTCCCGTATCTCGCTCTGCAGCGCCAGAGTTCGCTGCCACTGCCCTTCTCGCAAATGCTGATCCCAGCGCTGGTAACTATACCGAGCACTGCATCTTGCGACCGTGCATACATCGCACATCTCCCTGAGCAACCACATCACTTGCTCCCATTGCCCACCTTGCTCGCACATGCTGGCTATGACCCCGCAAGCGTCGAAGTTGGCGTTCAACGTTATCAAACACATGTTCCTGAGCATGCGTAGCGCCTGTTGCCACCGCCCGCCCATCTCGCACGCGTGGGCCCCAGCGCTGTAGCTGATGACGTTAGGCTCCAGCTTCAGCTCCCGCATCTCGCTCAGCAGCGCCAGAGCCCGCCGCAACTGCTCGCCCTTCTCACACGCGCTGGTCCCAGCACTGTAGCTGACTAGGGCTGGCCCGTGGCCTAACGCCCACAACACAAGTTCGAGATGGCACGTTGGACCAGGGCAGAGATGTAGCCGAAAGGCTTTCGTGATGGCATTGGGCCCGAACTTCGGCTCTGCTACTGCTGTCTGCAGATGTGCCTGCGGCGTGTTCTTGCTGCTGCCTACTTTTTCTGTGCCGCCGTTGCCTGCTGCGGAACGCTGTTGCTCGCTGTTGCTGCTTGCGGCTGCAGAGAACTGCGTCTTGGTGTCCTTGCCAACTAACTAACGCAACCTGGAGCTCGTGAGTGAGCGAGCGGGGAGCAGGGAGCGATGAGTCATGGCCGACGGGGGAGGTGGGGAGAGCGAGGAGCAATTAGCGATGAGCACGGTGCGAGAAGGGAGGAGCGACGGCCGAGAAAAGAGAGAGAGAGAGAGAAGCAACAAAAGAAAACGAGATAGCGAGAGAGAGAGAGAAAGAGATGCGAGGAAGGATAAGGGAGAGCCGAAGAGGAGAGGGAAGGCAGGCGCCAGTAGCCAGGTGGGAGAAGCGAGGGGGGCAGGAGAGAGGTGGAAGGAACGAGGTTGAGCGAGAACACAGAAGCCAGTTGGGAGGCGAGGGGCGAGGAGAGAGCGTGGAGGAAAGATGCGCGTGGAGCGAGAAAGAAGGACCCAGAACGGAGGCATGCGAAGAAGCCGGCACACGCATGTGGCCATGGCCTCGGCGCGCGCGTGGCCGAACATCTGGCCTCGTTCGCTCATTCATGGGGCTGTCTTGGGTGGCCGGCACGGTCATAGAGCTTCCTGGGGATCTTCCCTCGAAAACCTCGTCGAGGCTGTCTTTTGGGTGTCACGGGGCCTCTCGGGGTCCTCTTGGGGCCTGAATTGAAAACATTGGGGGCCTCCTGGGGCTTCTACGGGGCCTGCTGGCGGCTGCAGCCTGGAGCGGAGGTCGCAAAATGTCACTCGGAGTTCCGCCCCTTGGGGGCCTCTTGGGGCCCTCGTGGGCCATCTTGGGCGTCTCTTGGACCGTCCTGAGGCCCTCTTGGGCCGTCTGGGGGCTCTCATGGGAGCCTCTGAGGCTCTCTTGGGGGAATCAAGAGAGCCTCCAAAGCCTGCTAGAGCGCTGCTTGGGGAAATCTTCCCAGCGAGTCGGAACATTGCCTTTCGGGGCTGCCTTGGGGGCCATTGTGGATCTTTCTTGGGTCGTCTTGAGGGCCTCTTCTGGGCCGCTGGGGCCGTCTTGGGCGCCTCTTTGGCTGTCTCTGGGCTCTGTTGGTCTTTGCATAGGGCGTGGCCAGAGGCCCACACGGCTGTGCAAGCTGTCCCAAGGACGCGCTTCGGCCTCCTGGGGTTCCCGGAGGGAAAACCACCTCCATTGGCGCACCGTACCTTCTCGCACGCAGAGGTTCTGGCATTGTAGAATAGACTGGTGCTGACCCGTAGCTTGCTGGCCTCGAAGTTTGTCCGAGATGGCAAGTTGGCTCGGGGAGGAGCTGTTGCGGGAGCTTCGGCTCTGCTTTTGCTGCCTGCGGCTGCAGGATGCTGCTGCCTGTTCAATGCTGCCGTTTGCTGACTCTGTGTTGCCGCTGGTGGTGCTTGCGGAGGGCTGCGGGCTGCTGCTGTTTGCTACTTCTGCTTCTCAGCCTGCAGGGTGCTTCTTCTCTGTGCTCCAGCAAATTGGCTGACGTAACCTGCCGCTCGCGAGGGGAACGAAGAGAGAGAAGTCAAGAGAGGGAGGAGCGAGGAGTCAGGTTTGAGGATGGAGGTGGGAAAAACGCGGGCTCAGCGAGGATCAAGGAGAAGGGCGAGGAGCGAGGAGCAAAGTGAGTAAAGCGCAGAGGGAGGCTTGAGAAGCGGCTTCGGGTTCCCTCGGAGGCATCTTGGGGCAACCGCGGACCCGTTTGGGCACCGTGGGCCCTCTTTGGACTGTCGTAAGCTGAACTGGGCCCTCGTGCGAGGCACTGGATCCTGCGAGCCGCTCCGGGCGTCCTTGGAGCATCCTGGCCCGGTATCGGGGGCTCGGGATCTAGCACACTGCGTTAATATCTGGCACGCGATTCGCTCAGAGTTGGTACTGATGACCTTGGGCTCCGACATCGCATCCCGCAGCTCGCTGAGCAACTATCGGCAAGTGGGCTCAAACTTTGCAATCAACATCTCTCTGAGCAGCGGCGTGACCCGCTTTCACTGCACGCCTCTCTCTCTCTCCCTCTTTCTCTCTCTCCCTCTCGCACAGATGCTGATCTCAGCGCTGTAGCCAACCAGGGCGGATCCGTGCAATGTTATCCGAAGCAATTTCCTGCGCGATTGAAGCCGCTGTCAAATTCACAATACGGATGTCCGCCAGCGTAATCAGTGGTTGCCAAACAAATTCTCACTCGCACAGCGCTTCGCAACACACGCGAAAACGCGAAAGACCGATCCCAAGATAGCCTGGAAATCCTGCCGAGTTGCGGGTCGACCTCTCATACGCGGTGGCGCACACATTGTAACTGACGTCGTCCGTCTCCACATGGCACTCCCGCATCTCGCTGAGCAGCGACAGCGGATGCCGCCACTGGCCGCATCTCTCACACGCGCAAATCGCAGCGATGTAGCTGACTACGGCGGACCCGTGGACTTCCGTCCACGACAGCTGATTCGCACGCAAGGGTGGAAATCGCTTGCCTGCTGTCGTGCTTGCGCGCTGCCCTGCGCGCATGGCTGCTAGCCTGCTGCCCGAGCAACTCCATACCAAGCGCTCATGTTTGCATGCTGGCCAACGTTCCTAGTCCGAGGCCGGCCAGCTTCCCTGCTTGCCTGCTTGGCCGCGTTGTCGCTTGCTCTTCTGTTCGGTGGCAACCAAGACAACGTGGGATGTCGGCCACCGCCTCGGAAGGGAGCGCGGGAGGGGCAACGAAGGGGACGAAGAAGGAAGCCAGAGCATTGAGGCGACCGCTTCGGCGGGTGGCCGGCGGACTGCGTTGGATGCGGGGTGCGGAAAGATTTGAGGGTGAGCGTGCCGAGCATGCGAGCATGCTTGCTGTGCGTTCACTGCGGGTGCGTGGGTGTGTGCTCGGCTCGGGTCTCGGCGGAATGGTGTGGAGATGTCGGCGCGTTTGCCTGCGGTGCGGCGTGGCATGCGGTTTGCGATCACGTGCGTCGGGTGCGGTGTGTTCGAGCGCTGCTGTGGGGTTGCTAGGTTCTGAAGGGCGCAGGAAGAGGAGCTGCGGCGTAAGCCAAACTTAGACCTGTATTCGCCGTTTACTCGTTGTGTCCAGGGGCGGCTCGTCGCACGAGGCGTCCGAAGGCTTCTGGAGAGGAAGATCGGGCAACGGATATGGAGGGATGGTTTCGGCGAGGCATGTGGGCGGGTTATGATTATGTCGGGCGTGTCCCCCTACAGGGGGGATTTTCGACGAAAAATAAAAAAGACACCCAACATATCCCAAAAAGGTCAAACATACTGAAAAAATAGTCCCCAGACTATGTTTGGACTATGTTTTGGTAATGTTTGGGTTATGGCTTATTTTTCGTCGAAAATCCCCCTGTAGGGGGACAGGCCCGACATAAGGTTATGAAGGGCGTGTTCTCAGTCACACTCGGTGCTACGTGGCGGGCGCGAAGTGCGCGGTTTCCCGCTCTGTGCTGGCGCCGCGGAGAGAGAGAGAGAGAGAGAGAGAGAGGGAGAGAGAGAGAGAGATAGAGAGAGAAGGGAGAGAGAGAGGGATAAAGAGAGAGAGAGAGAGAGAGAAAGAGAGAGAGAAAGAGAAACAAATAAAGAGATAAACAAAGAAAGAGAGAGAGAGAGAGAGAGATAACAACAAAGAAAGAGAGAGAGAGAGGGGCGTGGGGCCAGGACAGAGGTGCGAAGACCGAGGTGGAGCCACAGGAGAGGTGCCAGGAGCGAGGAGCGCGAGAGGCAGGGGGAGCGAGAAAGGGCCGGCGAGGAGCGAAGGAGCGAGCCGGGGGAGGCAGGGAAGGGGCCAGCCCACGACTGCCTCCGTGGCCCCCGCGCGCGTGCGGCCGAACACCTGGCCTCCTCTTGCGCCGCTCATGGGGCGCTCCTTGGGCGGCCGGCGCGGCCCCCAGAGCTTCGGAGGGGCTCTTCCCTCGCAAGCCATCGTGGAGGCTGTGTCGGCGGTGTCTGAAGGGGGCCGGGACACACCAATAAATACACACGAATAAAAGGACGCCCCATAGTTTTCCATATTTCCTAGGTTTTTGTCTTCCCCCCCCCTTCCCCTATTTTCCCCTATTTTCGGGGGAATCGACGATTACTTGTGTCTGTGTGCTCTTTTTTTCCTCCTGATAGTCTCGAGGCCTCTGGGGGCCACTTGGGGGCCTGCCTCGGGCCTCCGAGGCCTCCTGGGACTCCTGCGGCTCCTCCTGGGGTGCCCGCCGGCGGCCTCGGGGGTCTCTCATCTTCTTGGGGGCGGAGGGCGCGGAGTGTCCCTTGGGTTACGTCGGGCCTGTCCCCCTACAGGGGGAGTTCCGGCGAAAAAGAAAACATACCCCAACAATAATCAAAAAATAGTCCCAAGATGGTCTGGGGACACTATTTTTCGACTACGTTCCGACCCTTTGGGGGCACTTTTGGGGCATTGTTTCAATTCTTCGTCGAAAATGCCCCTGTAGGGCGACACGCCCGACATAACTCCTGGGGCTCCCTCGAGCTCCTCTTAGGGCTGCCGTGGGCCGTTTTGGGGCCTCTCGGGGATCTTCTGACCCGGGTCAATCCAGACCCGGGTCAGCAAGAAACCAAAAAACTGCTATGCAGGAAAGAAAAACTGCGACGCAGGTCTTGGCAAACCCGGGTCAGCCAATATGCGCGGCCGCCTCGCGGCCACGAGCGGCTCCCTAACCCGGGTCAGCCAGAGGGGGTCTTCGCAGGATCCTGCAGGATCTGGCGCCCTGGCTGACCTCCGTTTGCATTGACCCCCGTCTCTTGGCTCCCGAGCCTCCTCGGCCGTCCCGCGGCCGCCTTCTGGGCTGCCCCGGGGCCCCCTCTTGGGGGCCCGGCGGGCCGTCTGCCTCCGGGCGGCGTCGGAGCGTCGGAGGCCCGAAAGAAGGCGAGGCCTCGCGGGGGCCTCGTGGGGCCCTCGTGGGCCCTCCTGGCTACCGGCCTCGAACTCATCCCTATCCTTAATAGGGGGAAAACAAACCTACCTCGCTTTTGACCACCCTCGCTTCCAAGAGATACCAAACGATGCCAAATTGCAGCCTGTACTGGTCAGGCCCCTTGACGAGGAGGCGCGTGGTATGGCTTGGTTTTGCCTGGAAGCGAAAGCGGGGTAGGTAATTCACGCTCTGACTTAAGATCGACACGCCCAAAGGCGACGACAATCTTAGGGATGCGCCCACAAAAAATGAGGGAATCCCTGAGATTGGCGTCGTGACGAGGAGATGCCCAGCATAGGGATGGGGACATGTTCCAGGCTGGTAACCTGGAGCACTGCGGGGGCGGCGTGCAGGCCCTCTTGACCTCGTGGGCCGCCCGGAGGGTCCTCCTGGACCGCCTTGGGGCCCACCTGTGGAGCCCTCTCGGGCCGTCTTGGGGCCCTGTCTGGGGCTGCTTGCAAGCCGTGCTGACGACCTCTGGAACTGCCTGGAGGCGCCTCGGACCGTCTCGGGGCCCCCTCTCGGGCCGTCCTGGAGCGCCCGGGCCCTCTCCCTTGGGCCCACAGGCCTGCCGGAGCCCCGGAGGCCCCCATCTCGACACAAGCCCTTCTGGCACGCAGGAGGCGCTGCACTGTAGACGAGATGACGTCGGGCTCCAGCCTCGCCTCCCGCACCTCGCTCAGCAGCGCCAGAGCCCGCTGCCACTGCCCGCTCTTCCCGCAGGCACTGGCGCCAGCGTTGTAGCTGATGACGCTGGGCTCCAGCGTCGCCTCCCACATGTCGCTCAGCAGCGCCAGAGCCCGCTGCCACTGCCCGCACTTCTCGCACGCGCTGATCCCAGCGTTGTAGCTGAGGCGATGCAGAGTAACTAGACTAGGGCTGCCGCGTGGACTTCGCCCAGCTCGGCGAGCGTGTGCTTGGTGCTGCTCGCTTATTGAGGCGGCCTGCTGCTAGTCCCCATTGCGAACGGTTTCTTCGGTTCGCTTCTTGCCGGCTGCTTGCTTGCTCGCTGCTTCCCTGCCACGCTCACAGCACGGGCCTCCAGCCTCTGCGCGATGTCCTGGCTCACCTCCCGGAAGGCCCGCTCGTGGCTGGCGAGGTCTCAGGGCTCTCCGTTAGGGCTATCCGTTAGCGATTGACATCATATCCATGATTACCCGTGCTCGCACCAGGGCCATACTCTGGATGGACACTACTCGGCCACTCCCCCTTGAATCCGCTGGGCGGGGGGCATGTGCTGTAGGAACGGGTGGAGGGGGCGTTGGGAAAAGGGGAGGAGGACGAGGAAGGGAGGGAGGATGGATGGGGACGGGATTGGGCAAGCTCAGTCGGAAGGTGAATCCCCCCTCGTGATGAATACCCCTATCCAGAGTACAAGGGGGAAGAGTGAGGGCCTGGCTAAAAATCCAGCCTGTAAGCGCCATTTTGCTTATCCATGCCCTGCGAGTGGGGGAGCAGCAGCAGGGGAACGAATTGAACGCCGATCCCTCCTCCTCCTCCTCCTCCTCCTCCTCCTCCTCCGAACGTTGATCCCCGGTTCTAAAGGGTTTTCCGTCGGAAACCTCATGGAGGGGGTTGTGGGGGCCGCGCGCCCATTGGGTTGGCCTCTTGGGGCCCTCCTGGGGGGCCTCCAGGGGGGCCGCTGGCGGTCTCCGGGGTCATCTTGGGACGGTGGGCGCGACATGTCGAGTGGAGTTCCCTCTCTTTCTGTGGCCCTCGCAGCCTCTTGGGGCCCTCCTGGGCCGTCTTGGGAGCATCTTGGCCAATCCTGTGGACTCGTTGCCATCAGGGGCCCTCCTGGGCCGTCCTGGGCCTTTCTCGGGGGCATGTTGGGCAGTCTTAGGGCGATATTGGATGCTTCTTGGGCCGTCTTGGAGCCTCGGGCGCCCGAGAAAAGGCTAGAGAAGCCACGGACCTCTCCCGGGGTGCGTTCTGACCAGGACTTCGAGGCGGATCCAGCGGTGGTGACGAAGGCCTCCCAGGAGGATGGGCACCTTTCGGGGAGACGTAAGACTCGGATTCGGGGGACTCGGGTTGGCCTGACGAGGCCATCAATGAGAATGACGAGACCTAATCTGAAATTTGACGCGAACTCCCGCTGCAAACATCCCACGAAAAGCCTGACCGTCAAAATCCAGGACGCGCTCGTCAAAAAATGTAGGCAAACCCTAATTCCGGCTTACTCGAGCCCTACGTTTCCCCGCACCTCTTCCAACGTCAAAGCGCAGTCGTTTTGGCCTCTCAACCGAGAGAAACCAGAGACCCCACTGGAAGGGCCTATCCGAGCCCTCTTGGGCCGCCTGGGGATCCGGCTGGGCTGTCTGGAGACAACAAACTAGCTATCTCCTAGACCGTCTGAAGGCGTAATTACCCAGACCCCCTCGCAGAGTGAAGAAAACACGGCGGGATGCTTTTCGCTATTTTCGGCCTCCGGGGGTCCTCCCCAAGCCTCGGGACCGTCAAATGATCCTGGCGAAAGACCCAACCATATGAAGTTCTGGGTACCGCAATTGTGAATATCTTCTTCGGTGAAGCTTCCTATGGGGCCACGAAGCGCTGCGCTGGGCGAGGGGGGAACGCATGCGGGCGGTAGCACTGGGGCCGTCGGTGAAGCTCCCTATGAGGCCACTAAGTGATGTCCCATCGCATTTCAATTTCCCATGTCCTCGGAGTTCCTTCTGGCCCGTTTCCGATTTGCTATCCGACGGCGCTCCCCCCTCAAAAAACCCTCCTCATTGTTGTCAGACTCCCCCTCCGCCGTGTCGCAGGTCGCTGCTCCTCTTCGTCGTACCTGCTGGTGCTGCTCCTCCTCCTCCTCCTCCTCCTCCTCCTCCTCCTCCTCCTCCTCCTCCTCCTCCTCCTCATGCTCCTCCTCCTCCCGATTTTTTTTTTCCGTAGCCATTTTGGCTCAAGATGCCTGGTTCCCTTGGGGCCAAAACGGATACCGCTAGTCCGCGGCCAGATCTCGCAGTTCTTCGCCTTCACTGCAGGAGTTGGGCGCCTGCACCTGTTTCTGGCCTCATCCGCGGGAGTTGGGCCCCCGCTTCTGTGTGTGTTGGCCTTCACTGCGGGAGTTGGGCCCCTGCTAGCAGGTCATGTCGTGGCGGTCGCGTGCCCCCTGGCACCAAGGGCGCGGAGGCCGCAAGCGTGGCTACGGCGGCGCATGGAGTCGTGAAGTCCAGCGTCGAGATACCTACTCAGTGTGCGGTGCCTGCGGGCACTGGGAGTTCGACAAGTATGGCAACTGGAGTTGCAGTAAGTGCGGTGGCTGCTATCTTGACGTCGGTGAGCCTGCTGCTAAGGACGCTGGTGGCCGTGATGCTGCTGGCGATCTCGAGTGGCTGGCGGCCAAGTACCCGCACTTGGCAGGGGCGCTCGGGGAGCTCGGCGCGGCGGCCGCGGCGGAGCTGCGCGCGCCACCTGCTCCCCCGCCTGAACCTGCCACTGAGAACGAGATGGAGAAGCTCGTGGCTGCGAAGCGTACTGCCCTGGCGAAGGAGGTCGAGGTGCAGTCGCGAGCTGAACGGATTGCTCAGGGCGACGTGGAAGCTCGGCTGGCGGCTGTGGTTCGCCATCGGGAAGCTCTTCATGCTGCTGAGACGCAACGTCGTGAGGCGCTGCAGGTGCTGCAAGCCAAGCAGGTCCTGCTGCGTGAGGCTACGTTGGCGAAGGATGGCTTCGTGGAGGCTGACTTCCGACGCCGACAGCGTGAGGAGGAGGACCGTGTTCGAGGCGAGGCCGCTCGCGCTCTGTATGAAGCGCAGGCGGCTATGGCGGCTGGCGCGGCGCGTGGCGCTGGTGCTGCTGGCGGCGCTGGGGCTGCTCCTGGCGGTGGCGCTGGCGGCGCGGCGGGCGCTCCTCCTGTCGCAGGCGGCGGCGGGCGAGGAGGCGCAGCGCCTGCTGCCCCCGTGGGTGCCCGTGCTGCTGGCGTGGACGGCGGCGTGGCGGCTGGCGCGGGTGCGCCGCAGGCGGTGCTTCAGCCTCCTAATCTGGCTCAGCTCGATGAAGAGGGTCTGGCACGCTGGTGTGCGGAGCATCGTCAGCGGCTGGAGTTCTGGCAGGAGCTCCAGCGGATCTACGTCAGCGCGGTCAAGGAGGACGACGCCGATTCCGAGATGGCTTCAGAGCATGGTGATGCTCAGCGTGACGAGTTGGAGTCTCTGCGCAAGCGTGCACGTGAAGGGCCCCTCGAAGCTACACAGCAAGATCGTATGGAGAAGCTCTTGGTCAAGTCCGCCAATTGCAAAGCGGTCAAGCGGCTGCGAACCATCCGCGAGGACACGGCCTCGAGCTTCGGCAGAGTGCTTCAGCAGGCGGTCCCTGCCGGCGGCGTGGCCCAAGTCCCTGTCCCTGCAGATGGTGTCGACGACGGACTACGTGAGGCGGCGGCGGCTGCTGATGGCGAGGCCCCTGTTGCGCAAGCCCGTTTTTAACCGGCACACTGGTGGTCACGAGGCGGCCACCAGCATCGATTTCCTTTTCTGTAATATCACCTCGTGGAACGAGGTTGCCGTCTCGTTCGCTTCCAGCGTGCGAGCCAGTTGTGACGGTTTCTTCTTTGCTGAGCATCACCTGGATTGCGATCGGGCGAAGCTGGCGAAGAGGCGAGCGCACCAGCTGAAATGGCGACCCCATTTCATTCCTGCTACGCCCTCCCCAGGGGGTGGAACCCATGGTGGGGTGGGGGCCGTAGTGTCTCGGGGATTGTCGTTTCAACGTTTTTTGCATTTAGACGGTCCAGTGCAGGACCATGGCTCTGGAAGCCATTGGATGTTTCTTGAGTTACGCACCAAAAAAGCGGTGATCGCTGTGGGCGTTGTTTATTTGGTGTCGGGCCTGGGAGTCTGTGGAGAGAATGTGAACAGATTGCGAGGTGTCTCGGAGTTTCTGGGAACGTTGTCGGTTCCGTGGATTTTGATGGGCGATTTCAATGTCTCAGCTGGTGATCTCGATCTTTCGGGCTTCCCACGACTTGCGCGAGGGCGAGTGCTGGTCCCGTCGCTGGTGGAGTTCACCTGCACGCAGGGGCGCGGCTCCCTGATCGATTACGTGGTCGCTTCGGAGGATATTGCCAGCTACGTGCGAGTATCTAAGTATACACCGTCACCATTTAAGACACATGCGTGTTTGAAGGTTTCCTTGGACCACGGGGCGGTTGAACAGACGTTGTGGAAGCGTGTCAAACCTCCTCCTTTTCCTGATTGTGCTGGTCCTGATTTACCCTGGGAAGTTTTGTTGACGCAGGTGTCAGACGATGGTGACTTGGAGGTTCCGTTTTATTTTGAAAATAACTTCTTACCCCATGTTCATGATCATCTTTCTCCTGCTCTCTCTCTCGTCAGTACCGCATCTGGAGCCGAGCTACCGAATTGATGTTTCTCTCTCGCGCCTGTGCGATGCAGTTGTTGCCTTGCGAGAGTAGTGTGCGTGGAGGTTACCCGAGTTTTCGACGTGCCAGGATTGGACGTAGAGGTTTCTGTGGTCAGAGTTTCCAATCCCCTACGCTGCGTTTCTGGGCTCATGTTTCTCAGACCTTGTGGGAGTATCGTCTGTGTAAGGCTCGGAAGTCTTGGGATAATATGCATTGGGCTGGTCGTGTGTTGCACGTTTTGTCGGGTCAAGTCCACGCGCATTGCCTCCCTGGGCTTGTGCGCCCCGTCGAGTGGTGGATAGCTCAGCTGGCTGCCGTCCCGTCGTCGGTCGATGGGCTGAATCTTCTTAGTGATGCGGTCGCTCACGCGGTCGGCCAGGCTTGGAATGAGGCTCGCGCTCTGTCTAAGGAGAAGATGAAGCAGTGGCTTCTTAAGGCCCTGCCGCGTGGTGCCAAGAGGGTTCACTCTTGGCTCAAA